TTCGGATAACCAAAAAACGTGACGCGTAACCGAAAAAAATGTGACGGTAAATTTTTTTCCAACGCCGATAAAGAAGTTTCACTTCAATAAACATTCAATCATTCACGATCTATAACTTAACCAAACAAAGGTGTCAATTCTGGCATGACTCTCTAAACTTAAAACTAAATTTAACATCAGTCTCTTCCTTTCGTTTCGATTCACTGTCGTCAAATTTAAGTTTAGGTTTAGAGAATGCTGCCATAATCGACACCAAAATCTTTCTTTTGACGTTGAAATATGATAATATTTATAAAAGATATATATTGATCAAGGGCGGATCCAGGGGGGGGGGGAGTCATGACCCCGTACTACCCCCTGGCGCCAAAGCTGGATCCGCCCTTGATATCGATGCAGGTAAATAGCCACATAAAAATTATAAACAATACGTTGTACGTTGTTGATTCTAGCATGCAATCATGCATTTAACATCAGTCCCTACTTTTCATTCCTCCATTAATAGAGAATTACGTCAGAATTGATACCATAATAAACTTACAACTTTTTATTTTGTTTGTTTGTCTATCGGTTTGTTTGTTTATTGGCAATACATTGATGTTAACAGCGTTTAGGTAAAAGAAAGTAAATCAAATCAAGTAGTTAAGTTATCAGGTCAGTTGCTCACATCGAGCGACTTTTATAACTTCGGTAATTGGTATAGTTGAAGTATAACTTTTTTTTAATAGATTTCAAAAGTCAAATTAAGCGGTAAGACCATCACACGAGGCCCTAGATTTTATTAAGTTGCACCGTGGTTATTATTGTGTCCCGAAAAAACACACGACATAACGATTACGATATACTCACGAACGTTTGTTCATGGGTGTGACAATTTGGATTTCTCTGTAGTTCCGGAGGTAGTTCCAGGAGACAAAAACTTATATTATTAAGATTCTATATTAGAAGGATTTTTAGGATTTTTAGACAAATTAAATTGTTTTCACCATAATTTATTATTTTTTACAGTTTATTTTATATGAAGTAGCGTCCACAAAAGAAGTACATATTCATCTGGGACGATAATAATAGGACTAGAGAAAATTAAATTTCCAGAAACTTGGAGTTCCTTCGAAGCTGTCTGGCTACAACAGAAAAGTACTTTAACGTGATTATTATTAGTAGTCTAGTATGTAGTTAAGTAAGAAACAAAGGTATTTTACAATCGAGATTAATTGAGAAAAATTGAGTCAGGTCGAGGACTGGCTCAGCGACTGCTCGAGAGGGAATTGGTCCTACCCATTAAAAGCCTGCCGATACATCAGCCTTCACCTGATCCGCCTGTATAAATAAAAACACAATTTTCAATGCATTTGCTTAAAGCTCGGAGCTGACTGCAAATAAACATAAGAAAACAAAAAAAAAACGAGCGAGCCTTACAGTAGTCGCGTATGATGTGAAACATTTGAAAACTCACATTATATTATTAAAAACAGAAATAAAACCTACTACAAAAGGAATAAGCCATTTGAACATTATGTTCTATTATTATTAAAATCAAATCAAATAGCGCGCGCTTTCGCGACTTCCTGTTACTCATTTCCGTCAGTCCGTCCGTCCTACTGCTTAGTGTTAGGCTTTGACATGGTTTGACTATCAAGAATTGGGCTTGGACAAGTGGCCGAATGTTAGCGTTATCGAACGCAATTGCTCACTTTGAAGTCAAAAAGAAATCAGTGTCTCAAGATTGTTTAATCCATACATTGATGAAAAATGTGCAATTTAGAAAGTTATTTCTTCGATTTACTAGTTAGTACCTACCTACTTATTTTTAAACTTCAAAGTTAGCGATTTCGTTCAAACGAACCAAAAAAATGCCATTTGGCGAAGTCCCCTGGAATTCTTAGCCATAACTGGGTATGTTTTTCTACTGTTCTCAATCAAGAATGCACGGGACTTGAATGTTCCTTCAATACACCCGGCTTGGAGAAGTAACCTCCACCTTACGGATGACCATAGTAAAAGAACACTGCCTTTTGATGGCGTTGTGTTTCTGTAGGTGAGTAAGGTTCCAGGGCTCCATGGGGATTGAGTCAGGGTAGACAACGGCGGGAGTGATATTACTGGTATCGCAAGCGTCTATAGATTATAGTGGCCGCTTACCGTCAATTTGCCACACTTTTAATGTAAAAAAATACAATACCTACCTATTAAACCTTGTTTTTTAATAACTTGCTCAAAAGCAGTTGATAAATCTGAACTCGACCCGCACCAGTTGTGCTTCGTAAAATGCAATATTCCTCGTTAAGCCACTTGACCTATAGAACCCGGAGCACCTACAGGACGATTCATTATGTCTTCTTCACATAAATCTATCACAGCGAAAAAGTTAAGGCTAATATTTTATTTCTAAGAATAAAAATTGATTTATTTAGTATTAGGGGTAACCGCGGGTTCACTTGCGTGGCTAAATTAATTTCCCATACAACCACTGCCCCCCCACCATCCCTCTTTCCACCCCTTTAATGGATTTTGCTGTGATAAAAACTATCCTTTGTCCTTTCCCGTGAACCAACTATTTGACAAACAGCTATTCATTTGACATTGTGGGTTACCTTCAATGCGAAGAGATGGCGCTGCCTTGCAGCTTAAGAATGGCTAGAAGAATTTCCACGCGGCCATCAGGCCGCGATAGCATAATTGGTCAGTGCATTCGCCCCGATAGCCAAGTGCAACAAAGAAATGAGTCACCAAATTTCTTTGTACGCGTTGGAATTGTGGCCACAGTTAGACGGTGACAACGCAGGCCAGCGCGCGTGGACCTCTGGGGGAAAGGGGAAGGTGGAATAAGAGAGAGTACAGACGATAGAACGCGCTTAGTGTCGCCACGTCACGGCGTCATTGAAGAGGCTCGAGGTGTTTAGTCATCTCCTCATCGCCTGTGATGCGGATCGCACGCCGCTGTAACCTATCCAAAGCATCGAGCAGAGGTGCGAGCAATATTCCACGCAAGACTGCACCTGCGTCTTATATATGTGTATAATAAAATAAAGAAATTGAGTAAGTATTGCTAAAAAATACTAAAATATACAGCAGTTTATTATAGTTTAGTTTTGATTTTCGTTTGTAGTGAATATTATGGAAGAAGCACTGTTCCTCAGCAATCCCTTACTTATAGGTGATAACTGTTACAATTTTACGATATGCTATTTCGCAAGCTTAAGGTAACTAGGTCTTGTGTCACATGAAGTACCTATCTTTTTAAAGATCTGCAAAGCTCTCAATTAGCTGGCATTGATTGGCTGGATATGACGTAGAAAACCCCAGTGAGCTGGAATTGGATTGGAAAACAGACATTAACTAGAGATCAATATGGAACAATGCGGGAAGAGCATTTTATTGAACGAGCCATCTCGTACGCCCAAAGAGACATACTAAATGTACTGCTTATAGTGTACACTGACGCAGTTACCTATCCTATTTTTATAAATTAAATCAGTTTTATTTTCGCTTCCTTGCATAGTTTAAGCATAAATTTGTGTTTAAAGACTGTCCTAGAGAAAAGCACCTTCATCATCAACCCAAGCTCGTTCACTGCTGGACATAGATCTCCCCTAATGCATGCCACTGCTCCCGATTTTCTGCCACTCTCATCCAGCCCACTTCAGCCAGCCTACGAATGTCTTCATCCCATCTTGTCTCAGGGCGTCCTAAACTACGTTTACCGTGTCGTGGTCTCCACTCAAGAACTTTCCGGCTCCAACGACCGTCAGCACCTAACTTAAAAAAAAAAACTTACTGTAGGTAATAATAACATTCTTATGATACAGGAGACTGGGAACCGTGCACGGGGTGCATTTCATAGTTGGGAAATAATGAAAGTTGGTAAAGTTACATACCACATTGCCACTTCTCTGTAGCTTTGAAGTGTAGGTATTGCGGAAGTTGTTAATTTAGTCCCTTGGAACGAAGATAAAACTGGCCAACCGCGAGTCTGGCTTCGCTCTATCAGGGTTCCTTAAAAACATTTGTTTGTTTTCGTTACAACACAACTTACAAAGTACATTATGAATCGGTGTTTTTCAGTATTTGTTGTTTAAATATAGTATATATATATATATGGGTTATCTTATACCAAAATTTCGAATTTTAACTAGTTTCCATTTTGAGGTAGACCCCGTAACAAAAATGGTCTAAAAATGAAAACTTTGGTATTAAAAGTAAAAAATAATAACAATTATATTTACATATATTTTACTCAGCGACTCTAGACAATAAGATGTCACATGTTGGAGCAAAAAAGAAAAAAATATCTTCTTCTTTTCATGTATGGGACCTGAAAAATAATTTAATTGTTCACTTGAATCAATATTTTGCTTTGGGCAAGCATTCTAAATAAAATACCAAAATTTAAGTTCTGTTACTCACATTATAAGGACCAAAATAGCGTTCTGAACCCTAGGCACTAATAGTGATTTAAAATAAGAATGTGGATATTGCTATTAAATATTCCAAGCATCGAAGCAATCAATCACGATAATAGTATGAACAAGTCGCATGCTGTATAAAAATAACCTCAGGCTTGTCAATAAAAAAAATTTTGTTAAAAAATAAAGAACGGCTGAAATACATTCCGCTGATGTTCATATTCGGATTTTAATTGGTTAAAAAAATGTGTGACTTCCTCAAGTAGTGAGCATGAAAGCATTATATTAACTCCCGTGAATATTGTATCAGATGCTAAAAATTTTAGTTTAGTTAATGGTAGTATAGTAGCCTCGGGAGCAAAATTATTTTAATATTTGCGCTCTTGCCTTTAATAGTTCTTTGCTCCTTTAGTCAACAATCTACTATTCTCTTTGCATTAAAATATTAATGATATTTTAATAAATCTAAGTATGAAACCTAAATCCTCTTTATCTGCTTGTGATAATAAAATATACCAGTTTTTTCGGCAGCTTAGGAGCATCCTGTATCTTTATGAACAATAAATGTGTTCGTAAACTAAAATTAGTAGAATTATATCGGCTGTTAGTTGATCACTCAGTGTTTTATCGTGTTCCGTAGTGTTCAGTCATATTATAATTTAAATTACTTAAGTTAAATAAGCTTCCTTTATTTGTAATAATTTTATCAGTTGTAGGTATTAATTAGAAGGGCCATGGCCATGCTGTTGTAGTTGCAACTCATAAAAAATTTTTAATTATGCATCGGTTCAAAATTCACAATAACATGTTAAATTTATATAAGAGATAAAATATTGAAAAGTAGGTAGCAACTCAAATATGGAATATATTAAATTATCCTAATGGTCACTGAAATTATAAAGTTTTATTAATGAATGTAAATAATAATTTGTAGTAGGTATGTACCTTGACGGGTTTAAAATTTTGATATAGGTACCTATAAAGCTATACCGTTTTGTATCAAAGTAAGCTATTTTAAAAGAACATTAGCAATTGCAAATCGGAGCTGTTACAAAATAAATAAAAAATGTAGTTAAAATAAAGTTTTTGAAAAGGAAATGGGACTCAAAACGAACAATGTGCTTCCCAATAAGTGGTGTACGGTGCGCATACATTAAGTTGCTGAGATTTGCTGTTTTTAAGAAATCTAATAGTTTTAAACAGAAAAAATACAAGAGATTTGGAAAGAAAAAAAATAAAGTAACATGGCGTCGGCAACGGTGATATGGTATGTATTACCTTACAATAAGAACTCAAAGTTTATGTACCTATTTCTTACTCGTGTTACTACAACGAAGAGCTCGATGGCGCAGGTGGTTAGCGCGTTCGGTCTGCGATTTTGCAATGGGTGGTCGGGAGTGGTGCTTTTTAATATTTTTATTATTAACTTCGTTTCAATTGTGTGTTTAAGTATTTGCCCGCCACCCCTGCTTATTTTGGACGAAGGGTTAGAAGTTTTATCTGGGGATTCAAAATCAGCCACGAGAGTACGTATGAATATTTTGATCTATTTATTACCGTATTAGCTAAGTATGGTGACTCAATACAGCAGACTTGTATTCTAACTAGCGTAAGTACTGCGGATGACACTTTATGAGAACTCTGAAAATGTCGTCTGCAGAAACATTTCTAGGTCAGTGGAACCATTGAAAGGATTTAAATAACTAGCGGGTGGCCGTAGTATCCCAATTTGAAAAGTATTGTAAAAGCTACTGAGTACATTGAAGGTACTAATACGTATTCCTATAAAGTTCCCTGGACCTTTCAATATACCAAAACTCATCAAACTTTGGTCTGGTTAGAGATGCAAACAAAAAGTTATTTTCTATGATGACAAAATATACTCTCATTTTTTTCTATAGCTTATTTTTTTCACGAGTACGGAATTCAAAATGGCATTTTCGGAGAACGATTAATGCTATATGAGTTTATATTAAATTTTTCTGTTTATTTTAAAACCGACCAACCAAGCTTTCAGCAATTGGCAACCTCACGACGTACGGGAAAAATCTTGGTAAAATCCTCGAATTCTCCGTTCAGTTAATCTTTGTTTTAAATTTGAACGCAGTTAACAAAGTACATTTGAAAAATGTTAGTCTTTTAAAGCAATACATGTGAAATCAGATAAAGCATACCGTAAGAAAACAATAAAGACAAAACAATCTGAAAAAAATACGGTCCTAAGTTTAACTTCATGCTTTTTTTCAAAATTTTAATATTAATAATTCTTGTATTGTATAATATGGAGATTGTTATGGATTCATGGATTCAATGGTCTCGCTGGGTTAGTAAGAGTGATTAAAACAGTGTGTCATTATGAGATATTTTTTAAATGGTAAACGCTGGTAATGTCGCCAGTGTCCCTCGTGACTTTTTAAATAATTATTAATTTAAAATTTCTATTAAAGTTATTGTAGCAACTTATTCGTGGTTATATACCACGCCATTAAAATAGTAGAGTTTAAATTAAGTGTTCACTTAATCTAGAAGGTCTTACGTTAAGAATTGTTTCTGGTGCTGCAGTGGGTGGTTTTTAATAAAAACCACCCACTGCAGCACCAGAAACAATTCTTAAAAACTTTTTATGCAGCCCATTATCGCCCTGCACACACGCCCTTGGAAGGACTGAAGTTTGTCCACGGTTGATACCTGCGTTGTCTTGGTACGCCATACAAGAGCTGCATATCATATGATGAGTCTTATTATCGTCGTGTACAGCCACTTTATTATAAGAGAATGACAGACAGTCATGTATTGACTTCATCACACAGCCCGGAAAGATTTTTTGATGTGAAAACTTCTTTAGCGGCGTTGTACACTTTTTTTGTAATGGGTAAAAAATGTTAAACTCGCGTCAGGACACATGGCGTCAGACGAAAACAATAAAATTGGAAAGGTTATTGACTTCCAATATATTGGACGAAACATAGTCATATTGTATTTTATCGTATTAAAATAATAAGTCTCTAATCTAGGAAGTCCAGGTGGCAGCTTTATTGCGAAGAAAATGCTATTTTTTTACAATAGATGTCGCTAGGTGCGCTTAAATGCGATCTATGTAAGTTGTTTTTTCTTATAGATAAACTTTTTAATGTAATATAAATTGTCATGTTTGTGTACGATAGCGCAATTAATAAATATTGTATTCTACCACATAAATGATAGTACTTTAATTCTGATAATTAAGGCAATTCGTGCAAAACTATTCCCTAACCATTCGAAAATATCAAAAATGCACAACGTTAATATTCAAAGGACATTGTTCAGCGTCCATACATAGTTAGCCTAAGAACCAACAATCATGAAATATTATTTTCTAGGTTCAAAATCGTAAGTAAATGATTGTAAAGACAAAGATTATTGACGGACACTTCTGAGAACTTAAATTATTAGGAAAACTAAAAAAAATTTGAGGTTATGTTTAATATTCAATGAAATATAGGTCAACCTCCGTGGGTCAACCTATGAACTTAGTATGAAGTGAATTAATATTACAACTAATTCATTTTATTCGGTGCGATTTTAAAGAATAGCTATTAGGAAAAACTTGGTTAGGTAGGAATCATGAATAAAATAAAAACTGTAGTTTTGCTTCTTATTTATTGACTATTATTCACATAATTGTATCATATTGTATATTTTATTTATTTGTATATCACATGTACATTGTGTAAATATGCAGCGTGAATGTGTATCAGGTGTTCTTGAATAATTTGGCAGTATGATCCTCTCAGGATGTTTTGGCTCAGGTTCACTAGCACTTGGTAATAAGGGCTCTTCTCTTTGGTAACATCGATGGCATATTAGATAGCCGAAATAATTAAATTAAAGAAAAAACAATCGCAAATAAACACACACAACAGGTAATCCGAAACGAGAATGCACTTTCCGGTATATTATACTACTCTTTGGAATGCAGGAATGCCACAGATTACTACGAATGCAAACTGCGTGCACCACAACCACAGAGTAACGAGTTTTATGCCGGCCCTTCACTTGACAACAGTTTGTCCTTGTCTTGCTTAATAAGCAATGAAAAGGACAGACTGATGTCATGTTTTAAAATAGAAAATACGAATAGCCAAGTGAAGTGCCGGCATTAGAAAGAAGTGTTTTGTTTGCAGCGCTGCCATAGATTATACACATAAAATGGTATTTATTGTCTCAGATTATTTTTTAGCTTTTTAATTTAGCTTACTTAACTGGAAGTGTCCGTCACAATCTAATTACTGATAATTATCGCAAAAAATATACTAAGAATTATCATAAATGCCAAATTGGTGTTGGTTCTTAGGCCAATTTTAACATTGTCCTTTTCACTTCTGCCGGCACTCCCAGAGTGCAACCCGTCGGCTTTTTCTGGCATTGAGATATATATGCGCAGCTGGCCTTAGTCTTGCGAGTTGTCTTTGGAGAGTAGTTTCCATACTTTGTTTGCCGTGGAGCACGAGTCAATGGTAGTGCAGAATTTCCGCCATGACCCCTTGCTCTAGTGCCGAATTCATCTTTTGTCGTAAGATTTCGCATCTTTGTATGCGTCCCAGTGTTCATTGCCCTATTAAAGACGCGTTTCAACTTTTTCTTTAGTCTTGCAAGTTCAGGACCCCACCAGGAGTAATTGTTGCATTGGTTGGTTTGTGGCATACTGTGGGGGCAAGCAGACCGGTAGCTGGCTGTTGACCTCAGTCAGCTCCTCGGTGGTCTTGTCTATTGTTTCGGTGTCCTCAAACTCCAAAAGCTGTATGCGCTGTAGGGATTGAGTTACCTGTAGTATATACTGTTTCCTATTTGTCTTCCTGGGTATGCGCCTAGGTGTCGGAACTGCAGTATGTGTTTCGATTTGAAAGTAATCCATATATGGTCCTAGCAAGGGGCTTCCAAGAAAACTTACTAGTCAGACACTAGATTAGCACCCATCCTTGTCGCCAGCGTTAAGTCTATGATGGTTGGGCATGCCCCAAAGAGGATGGTGGGCATTGGCATCAGCGCCGTGTCGTTTTGTTAGCAGTATCTCACCAGCTCCACTAGTTCCTCTGGTGGTGCCACCTCTTCCTTATGCACGTAGGCGGGGGCCATCACCAGATCAGGTACACTTGGATCTTGCGATTGTATTATGTCTATTTCAGGTCTCTGCCGTACAGGACCGCAGAGCACGGTTCTTTGCTGTACAGAATGTCTTACCACCGCTGTTTGTGCAGCCGCATACGCTATTTCATCTGACCCACGTCTCCTGGATCAGAGCAACTGCCTCGTCGTTCTCCCCACTTCAGGAGCTGACCCGTTGCGGTGCGACTGTGTTGGAGATTCGCCTGGATAGTCTAAATAGTCCGTGGCTGAGGCACCATCGGAGGATAGCAAGTCATCAACTTTGACCTCCTAATCGATGTTAATCCAACCGAGCCTGACTGCCCACTCGCCCACTACCTCCTGCTCCATCTGCTCCTCCGGAGTAGAATCCCAGGTGGCCGAGGTGTCCTGTTTAGTCAGTTACGGCGTTTCGGGGTTCAGTCGGATACTGGTACAAATGGCTCATTTTGCAATTAATATATTTTATAAGACAAATAAATAAATCGTAAAACAGAATAAATCCTGTAGGTCATGGTGTAATTAAAATTTTCATGAGTTGATTAATAATTTTGTGGCAAAACTGCAAAGTCACCCAAGTTCAGAAATGGTACGTTTACCTTAGCTCCACCTATATGACGTCACTCTTAGTTTTTACAATATGCCCGGAAAAAATTGCAGAAGCCGAATTTTTACTTTTATCTTCCTTTCCTCTGTCAAAATCAAATCACCTGCAACTGTACGAAAACCTTTTATTTTTCAAACTATTGTAGACTCATACTATTATTCTACAAACTTCCTTACCGTTTCAATAAGGCAAATTATTAGCTGCACAAGGTATCTTACCATCTGCAACGCAATTATTCCCTGTATAGGTAAAAATTACCTTCAGTTAAATTAGAATATATTTTTTGGGAAAATATAAAAAACATACTATCTAGCAACCATACACCATGTAACAGCCTGAACTGAACTAACTATTTTTTAATAGACTATTTTTTGATTTAAATTAATGCTGTCGCTGTCGTTGCGATAGCAAAAGAATGGGACAACAATTGGCATAATGAAGCATTAATTGTTTTGTACCAGATGCGGTTTGAATTGCAAACGGTGTTATCTAATAGATCACCCGATCACCCCATCAACATCTATTTATATTATTGTTTCTGTTTATTAATCTTATATAGCATCCATTATGGTTTGTTTATCGAATGATATGTTTCCATACCTATTCCTTTTCCTCAATTAATCTTTGTAGGGGGAGCTTGGACTCTACTATTGCGAACAATTCACCTAGGTAAAGGTAATTAATATAATTATGAACAATGTAAACGAGGTGATTCTATATCTATACTGAACTAAATTTTACATCCACAATCGTTAAAGTAGAGATTATAATATTTATCGAAATCAACTGAAATTTCTCATAATCTCATAATCATATGCGGCGTTGTATTGTTTTAAACTTTCATGGTTACTAACATTATAGTAATATAAGTTATTTACGGGATTGTTACCATGTATCTTGTTTTTAGCGAGTTTACGATATTTCGACACTGTTGCAAGCGCCATGATCACGGAGTAACTGAAGTAATTGCGGGTAGGCTGTTATTGGCAGACATATCTCGCTAAAAAGAAGGTACATGGTAACAATCCCGTAAATAACTTATATATTACTTTATGCGGTGTTGTTTCATCTAGAGTTAAATTAGACTATAGTTAAAATACTAGAGAAATAATTAACCTTTGTTTACTCTGTGCATTTACTATGTATTTAACGTGATATTAACTATAGTAAAATTTATCTATGGATGAAACAACAGGCCCTAAAAGCCAGGCCACAATACTGCATTGCGACTTCGCATCTTAAAAACGACGTCGAATAGCAATTAAGCAATACGTTGCGATGACGCAATACTAAAAATTCCATCACAAGGGCCGGTAGCGTACCTGATATTTTCGCGATGCGTTGAACGACGTCACGGTAATAGATAATATTACCGTGACGACGTCGTAGATTTCTACGGTGCTACGCCGCAACGCAGTATTGTGGCCTCGCTTCAAGTCTTAGATAACAAAGATCTAAATACCTACCTACCTACTTTGATTTTTCCTATGTCATATTGGCACATTTTCGTTCCAGGTCTATCGTAGTTATTTGCTCTGCTTCTGTCCCACGAGTTAACACCGAAAATAGCATCGGTATATGCAGGAGCAAGATTTGCAATAAAATTGACGGACTTCATGTATTGAAAGATTGCGTAGTCATTTTGGGAAACCTCAAAGTATTACTGCTGGAGCAGGCTCACAAGGATGACTTTCGAAATATATCTTTCCCTAAACTCAAAGAGGTATGCAATAAATAACGGTAGCCACACACCATTATGCCGCTTGATCAAATAGACTTGATGTGCATGTCCTTCCAAAATGTCTCCCCACTCACGGTCAGTTTGGCTTGATCAAGCAGCAGGATGTTGAGTGAGTGGCTACCATAAAACTAATACTTATACTTATAATATCTTCAATTGTTTAGTACCTCATCAAATGATTTCCGTCATCAAATGGATGAATAGTAGTTATCTGGAATAGGCGCCCAATATTCTACAAGAACTAAGGACTACAAATCTTAGTACATGTTAAAAAATGATATTTTTTCGCGCCTAGCTTTAAAAGTAAGATAACCGGCGGCAAATGCGAGTCAGACTCGCGCACGAAGAAATCTGTACCACTATCTATACAACATCAGACACTTTAAAATAGACAATAGTGTGTCACATACTGGGGCAATAAAGAAAAAAATCGTCTCCTTTTCATCTATGGGAACTGCCTTGAAATAAAGTTTAATTTAGTTTTTAACTAAATATTTTGCTTAAGGCTAGGGAAATTTCAGTGATGTAAAGAGCCTTGTGAACGATCAAATTTGTTAGACAAATTTACGTGTTTGTCAAACAAATTCGATCGATTATGGCTATGTTTGATGCGTTTGACATACAAATTACTATGTGAAACGTGAAGTTTGTCAAGAAGTTTGACCAACTTTGATCATTTACATGGTGGCCCTTTACGTAATCCGTTTACGATCAAGAGACCCGTGAGATACGGACGATAAACGCACAGACAGACAGGAGACAGAATGAAAGCAATAGGAATGGAATTATGTGTTAAACTAAGAAGTTTGGCGAGTGGCCCTAAGTCTAAACAAAGCATGATTTATTACATTTTCTCAGGTCAGCGGTTTTGTTCTGTTCTACCGTGTCAACGGTCTTGAGTCAATCGGTCAGCTTTTCCCGAACTTGGCTGTGATTGGGGGAAGGCACGTACTGTACAACTTCGCCTTGATCATCTACGATATGCCCGATCTTAAAGAGGTAATAGAACCAAGGAAAATAAAAACCGATTTCATAAAAACAAAACCACTTAAAAGTAAAAAAAAAACATATTGGTGTCGATTCCAACATGATTATCGAAATCTTGTAAGTCTATATCCATCTATATATATCTACCTTGTCCTTTGCCTTTTTAGTGGTTTTATTATTATGAAGTCAGTTTTTATTTTTGTTTAATTGTTAAAAAAGTTTCGTATTTCTCTTTTTACAAGCCCGTGCAACATCAACTAAATCCTTATAACACGATCGTTTAAACGATCTTTACAACGCTCAAACCTTAACAACGCTCAGGTGTTCATGGAATCTGGTACTCGGAGGACTCCTTCGGACTATTATTTATTGTTATAAAAAGTATGATATGCTGAGTCTTCACGATATGGACTATCTTATTCTGAAAAAAAAAGACTGCTCTGAGAGTCCGACGGCCCGTGTATTACCATTAGCAGATTATTATGAACATTTTGATATATTGTAAGATATTCATAATTACTGTGGACATGGTAGCCGAGACAAAATTCAATTCCTACCAGATTAAAGAACGATTTATTATTGTTTTTTACATAACTGGTTTAATTACTTTAGGAGTGCCTAACTAAGCATGTATTTTAATAATAATAATATTTAATTGTCATTTTTTACGTGCTAACAGATATTTTAATAATATTTTATTAAAAATAAGACGACCTCCGTGGCCAAGTGGTTCATACGCCGGGTTTCAAAGTGTCGCCAACTCGAGAGGTTCGAATCCCGGTGGAGGCAAATGTTTGTGTGATGAATACGAACATTTGTACTCTAGTCATGGATGTTTAATATGTATTTCTATATAAACACGTTGCCCTTGTATCCCATATCACAAGCCTACAGTGCTTTCTTTAGGACTAAGTTAATTGGTGTGTGTTGAAGAAAAAAATATAGGAAATGTTTCAGCCAATGTTGGTCAAGCCTGGACCTGAAACAACGTTGTTTTTACCATTTACTATTTTAAGTTAGTCTTACTTGAATAGGTGACTGCCTGATTTCTGAAATAAAGTCTGATTCGTTCAATCTGTGTTTTATGATAAACACCTTAGTATTACAATCAATATCGAAATTTTAACAATTGAACGACACACCAATTTGCCTTCGGCATATTTTAAAATAGTGAGCATTTTTAAACGGACGACGCCGTTTGTGAAACGCGGAATCATACAAATTGACTTTCATTGTCAAAACACATTCTGACTAATTGATCAATTTTTTTATGGGACACCCTGGAGAGTAATGCCCCCTTGCGATTACAAAAGAATTTTTGAAAGTGGGCCCAAAATTGACGGAATAATCGCTTAACAAACATACAAAAAAACGACATGCAGTCGAATTGAGAACTTCCTCTTTTTGCAGTCGGTTGAAAATAATACTGTGCGTGTTGTGTATTGTAGTTTTCTCGAGTGGCGACTACGCGCGAGACGTGACCGCAATATATGCCTATCACAAAGCACAAATATTACACTTAAACTGAGTGCAGTCTTCGTATGGCCTCACGAGAAAAGCCACCTACTCAAATAATGCGTTTGCACTTTTCACCCATTCATTACTATTAGAATTATTACTTACTTATGATTTTATTCTTGTATATTTTTACATAAATCATGAACATATTTTACTCTCCTCTTTAAAATAAAATTGTGTGCTGACAATGCTGTAATTTTCAATGGAATTTGTTCGAATTTTTTACTTGTTCAAGTAGGTACATTTTATAAGTTCGTGATAACTTTTGCTTTAAAGGCGGCATATTTCTTGAACAAAACCACATACAAAATAACGTTGAAAAATTTCTATGCTCGTTGCTCAAGAAACTTGCCGGGATGTATACTACTACCAAGACAGATTTCATAGCCTATACTCAAACCCGGTGACGCTGTAATAATGTATATAATAATATACAATATATATATACAGAGTGTTTCTTCTAGGGTGTCAAGCCAATGTGAGCTGATAGCGGAGTACCATACCTATCAATTTAACCCCCATGTATGTTCTACGATTGTGCGTAGTTTTCGAGTTAGATTTTCTTTTCGTTATTCTTTAAGTTCAACGATGTGACAACTTTAAAAAAGTATAACTTCTTGTTGGGTTCATTTTTCATCGATATTTTTTTTAACAGAATGCCTATTGCTTGCAGTCTTATAAGGGAAATAATTTCCTTCCTCACTTTAACCTAAGATATAAAAAATTTGATCGATACTAATCGAAGAAAAATTTACCCAAAAAGAAGTTATACTCTTTTAAAGTTGTCACATCGTTGAACTTAAAAAGTAACGAAAAATAAATTCTTACTCGAAAAATACGCAAAATCGTAGAATATAAATAGGGGTTAAATTGATTGGTATGGTACCCCGCTATCAGCTCGCACTGGCTTGACATCCTAGAAGAAACACCTGGTATATATACACAGTCAGGTCATAAGTATTGTCACACAGTAAAAACTTTTTTTTTAGAATGCTGGCCACAAAAAAAGTGTATTGAATTCGAATTTAGAATTGTTCATGAAAATAAAAATATATACTTTTTAGAATTTTACTCATTTTTAAATATGGAGTGGACGCTTAAAGAAGACCGTGTTGCAGTTATTGCGTTGCATCGTTGCGGTTACGCGCCAATTCAAATTTTTGACATACTGAAAAATTTGAGTATAACTAAAAGATTCGTTTATACAATGAAGACTCTAGTGTAGATGACAGGTCAAGAAGTGGTCGCCCTCGGTCTGTTAGGACTCCAGCAGTGATAAAAGCTGTAAAGGCGCGAAGTCAAAGAAATCCCAAGCAGTAAAGTAAGCAGAAACTGTTGGCCCTTCAGATCCCCATCTGCTTTTGCATCTGCTTAAGCAGAACCACGATGAAAAGGGTGTTAAATGAAGATTTAGGGCTTCGGGCATATCGAAGAAAAACAGGACATCGTTTGAATGCTCGTCTAATGGCCCTGAGACTGAAGAGATGAGAGAGAGACACTTTTTCACCCTGAAAATATCATTTTAATGGAAAACTTTAAATGTAAAAGTTGTTCCGTACATAATTACCAACAACTTTTGTATAAACATTTTTTAAAAATTACTTACAGTTTTCAAGTTACAGTGCAATACATACGTATACAACACAGTGAGTGCCAACACAGTGGGCCAATTCGGCCATCTGTTCTATTCACAAAGTACATTAGTAAATTATTATAATCATGAAAAAAAAAAAAATATAGTAAAACGTACATTGAAATGTGCACTGCAAATGTGTACTTGAACTGCCCAAAACCGCTCTATTGGATTTTTCATACCTGCGCAATTTATAACTTGAAAACAGTAAGTAATACAAAAAATTTGTTTATACAAAAGTTGTTGGTAATTATGTACGGAACAACTTTCCCATTTAAAGTTTTCCATTTAAATGATATTTTCAGGGTGAAAAAGTGAAAAAAACACTTTTTTTGAGACTTTAGCGCCACCTACAATGCGCATTTTTTGTTGTACGAGATTGCAACACTGACATAAATTGTAGTACTCAACGCCCTCTACAATTATGGTCGAAAAAAAAGTTTCTAATATGCATACAAAACAAGAAAAATGCGTTTCAAAAATTTTTTGAGTTATTTCAATATTTATGACAACATAAGAAAATAAATTTAATAGAAATGATATCTAAAAACTTAGGAGTGAAATGTTACACCATTAGCTTTATTTGTATTTCTGGAACTGTTATAGCACTTTCTGAAGGCACACGACGGCATAATAATATACTTTTTTGCAAAAAATTGGAATTGGAAAAAAAAATGGAAAAATATGGGAGTTAGGTCATTCGTGTATTGATAGATTTCGGTGCCGTCAAACTATGGTAAGGGCATACCTGACGATTCAAATCTTTGGTGTGACCTCTCTGCGGTTGGCGACACCACTGGAACTGCAGTCTGGGGTCGCTGCACTGCGCAGCCGCTGGCTACGCGCCGCGGCTGCAGGCCGCAATGTCGCCACGCTCGGAATCAATTTCATAGAGATTCATAGAAACTAGTAGTGTCGCCTGCAGGCTGCAGCTGCGGTCTGTGGTCTGCGGTTCTCTATTTCAATGAAAAACGAAATTTCGATCGCAATTTCGCACGTTCCTTACTCTGTTTCTATTTCATTTCGAAAATTCGTTCATCCGAAAATAATTTGACATTTAAATTTTCTAAGCCTACTCTTATTCACAAAACTTTTGAACTAAAAGTTGAATTTGACAGATAATTGTTCGAAATTTTAACCTCTAAAATTGACGAAATGAAAAGTGTCACCTTTTCATTTTCGTTTTGGGATTTTTGTTTAAATGAAATCTAAAATTACTACTAGAGTATTTTAATTAAGGCTGTAAGCAGCCTTAGCACTCTAAGGAGTGAGGAACATTTTTTAGTATGAAAAATTTACAAATAAATCTAATTTTTGTTTATTGTATTACCAATACTTCAAAGTGTTTCACGACAAATTTAGGTTGACATAAATTCGATTGCATACACTCTACAAATTAGTCGGCTAACACTGTCAAAAGTGGTTGTTGTTTTGAAGTAAAAAACTTTACCTAAAAAATTTGTAGACAAAAAGAACTCACAAACATAACTCATTCCATGCGTTCACGATAATTGTCTGTGATTCCGAACTTTATGTGCGTGTTCTAAGATGAAATAGAGTAGAGTCACTGGCGAAATTTCGTTTAAAATTCGTTCGTTGCCGAAATTTCGTTTCGGAGAAAGAGAGTAGAGCTCCAGTTCGGACTTGTACCTTAACGGACAACATAAGCGCATAGATTGTGATTGTATGAATTTTAATAAGCTTTCTTTTTCCTATGCAGGTGGGACTTTATAGCCTGATGCGTATTTACAAAGGCGGTGTGGTAGTGTGGGCAGTTCCTCAGGTCTGCTACGTTCACACTATAAATTGGGAGGTGATCGCGCCCAGAGCTCGCCATGTGCTGAGCTCATCCGAGGGGTCTGTGCACTGCAACACTATGTGCTCCTGCACTACTAATACTGCGACAAACCATTGCTGGAACATAAAGTAATTATTTAAAATTTACCTACATCGTAAGATTACATCAAATTGGAAAATCCAAAAGTGCACGCCTCACATTCACGAAACAGAAAACCAGTAAATAAATTCCATTGAATTTCATTAATATCTTTAAATCGGTTATCAGTTCAATCATGATAAGAAATAGGGTTCATCCTCAGTATAAGTGGAAATTAATTCAAAAGGATTTATTACAATTAATTGCGTATATTTTTCTAAAACGTGCAGACAAACAAGTGCACAGACCACACAGACACAACGGACAGCAGTACTAATAATTTTTTAACTTCATTTTTTTGTTTTTTAAACTTAAAAAAAAGAAAAAATACGCTGACTTTATTATTTAATATGTCTTGTTTTCAAAACATCCCTTTTTTATTGACTTAGTGTCTTGCTTGGGAGATAAGAGCGATTTTATATTGTAAAATCGTCACATAGCGGCCTATCGAGAGTAAAGCGCTCCCACACGCTTACGCGTTTTGAGGCGTGCAAAAGGGAGTTTTAGAGCGTTCATCGCTACGTGCACGCTATTTTATTTAAACTCATTTGACAGCACATTGTTATCACACTAATAAAGGCGAAAGTATGTGACTGTGTGAGTGTGTATGTTTGCGAGTTCTTCACGTCTAAACGGCTGGATCGATTTTAATAAAATTTGGTATGGAGTTAGCTGTCACCACCACATAGGCTACGTTTTACTGCTGGTAAATATCCCTAATAAACCGCGGGGCACAGTAGTATTGAAAAACTACTACTGTATTTATACATTTTCATGTAAGTCAGCGTATTTTTTTTAATACGTTATTACTTCTAATGCACGTTATTGGTAAGAATCACATTCGTAAACTTCTCTAGGAGCGTCCATTCAAATAAAAATTGACAGTAAATTGTCTGTGAAAATTTTTGATTATTATGATTATGAAGGTGCGGGTTCGAACCCTGTCTGAAACCTGGTTCGAGTGGAATTTTCCTAGTTAAAGTTTTCTTTAGATTTTTAAATCAAGCCGTTAAAACTTATAAAAAACGGGTTGCACTCCGGTCCACTTATTAATAAACGAGGAATAAGCTTAAATTAGTTACGCTGTGTTTTGTTCATTATATGAACAAATGAGTGGGGGATATAAGCAGAAAGCAGTGCGCGCGCAAATTTTCTTTCTCTTATAGCTAATAAATGAAATATGTATACGTACATACATGTATACATTGTACACACACACACACACACACACACACACACACACACACACACATATATATATATACATATATAATTATATATGTACAGAAAATCAATAATATTTAAATACAAATTTCCTTAACCTACTTATAAATAACATCTTATTTACAAAATAAAAAATAAGTCACCCCCAGTGCCGCCGTCAGGGATGGTGCCCAATAGGCTGGCAGCATTGCCACGTTTAATGGCAAGGCAGATCCGTTGACAAAGATAGCTGCCAACCTTTTGATCACCAGTAACTTCGGTGAGTCTCTTTGAAATTTCCTTAAAAAAGGAACGAGCGGTTGGACCCCGTGGGCCCATGGTCTCAACAGCAAACGGCACAAATATAAAGTTCTCATTGAGAGCTGAATATTTGCGCCGTTTGGAGCATTCATCAGAGGCCGAGGCCGCACCCGCAGCAAGGGAGGTGCTCCCTGTGTGGCACGGAGCAAGCCTATCCGCGCAAGTTGCGTCCCAAACAAGTGGGCGACCCTGCGGACATTCCACGGAATGAGCGTCATTCCGTATATATTCATATATATATATATATATGTATATATAATATAGATACAGATGGAGCTAAAGAAGTTTCACTTCAGTCGTGTGGTCATAAGCACACTCGCTTTTAATTCTAGTCAATTTTTTTCTTTAATCTTGCCTTACCATGACTGGTGCTATTACTCTACAAAGATTAATAAACGACGAAAGATTTATTTAGAAAGCATTTTAGTACGTTACGACGCGACGTGTTGTAAACGTCACTTTGTTTCATTTTGAATGGATCGTAATTTTCCTCGCGACTCGAGTCTTGGTAATAAGGTTGAGTGGAAATCTGAACACGCTCGTTACTTTAACCGTCGCGTGAGAGCTTACACTTGTTGCTGCACAATATCCAACTCCTTTTTAAACTCTAACCGTTTCCAGTGGTTTCATTGTTCTAAATATTTGGATAGAAATGATTTTTTTGTAAATTATAAACAAGTTGGAATGTTCACAGTGGTCAATTTATTGAAGTGAAACTTTTTGACGTGACAACGTCTTAAATTAGGTTGCGGCTGGGAGTCACTTATGAAAAAGTGTAACGCTCGGTAACGTTACGATGAGTCTCTCGTGTTAAGTTTAAGTTTACATGTACAATGTTTTAGTAAACAAAATATATTTCTATAGTTAAAATTTGTGCAATTCTTATTTTCATTCAATTCCTTGTTCCTATTGTGCAATTTAATTATATTCATATCAATAAATATTCTACCGAGAAAAAGACGTTGTCACGTAAAATCTTCGCCCGTAAAACCGACTTTACAGGCAACCATTTTTTCGTAAATGTAAAAATCCTATGGAAAATATGAAACGGCGTTAAACGACTATATATATAGATGTGTGTGTGTGTGTGTGGGATGCGAGCGCAGCTCATACCGACGAGCACGAAAGTTGGACGATAACTCGGCGAAGGCTGAAACACTGAGACGTACGAGTACATCACAAGCGTCACTATCACCGCCTGATGTTAGGTTATTTAAGAAAACAAGTTTCACTCAGATATGTGGTCCATGTACACATTTTTTTATTTATTTTAACTTTATTGCCACAATTACAAAAATGTACAAAAGGGGTACTTAACGCTAAGAGCATTCTGTCCATTCGACTAATTTAAAATAAATTGATCGACCAAATGATTTTACGCGAATTCTAAATACTGTAATAGATGTTTTTCTTACTTGATTAATGAAAAATACTGTATTCAATTCTTATAAGACTTCAATTAATGAAAGAGATAATTATAAAATAAACTGTATCGCTTACTAAACGTTGGAAGAAAGTGTACCATATTTACCAACACAGAAATAAGTCAATTTAACAAAAGACGATAAAATAAATATACCTTTCATTTCTAAATTTCTCAAGTATCAAAAATAAATAAAAGGTTGTGCTATGCTTTTTTTATAATACTGTATTTGTTTATAAATAATATTTTTAGACACGTTCCGTTTCCGGCATAAATATACCTTAGTTACCTTACCTGGCTTGACCCTCAGCATCACTAGATATTCCTTGTAGTGTAGGCTAAGGTGTGTGCGGCTATAAAATTATAATAAAGTGGAAGCTAAGAAACTTTCGCAAAGGCTGGTTGGTTATAGGTAGTTGTGCCACCGCCGGCGCGGAAGCGACTAACTATCGGCTATTTTCTCGCTCAAGAAATGTTCTACAGATATATAGGTACATTATGTGTAACAAAAGAGATGCATAAGTATATTAATAGTTGATCGCTGACTCTTTATACTGCCGGTGAGAACTCTCTTGAATAGTTTGTCGTTGAGCGACAAGAGCTGATAAAGACAATACTCGCTCAGCTATGCTCGCTTGGCGGTCTGTCGCTCGCGCGTGTCTGTTTGCTCAGGACTGTCACTGCAAGCGAGAGGTCTAAGTAATCTATCGTACTTGCACACTCGCTTACAGCCCAGCGATAAAACTATTGGAACTACACATTCGCAGCCTTTCTATCTCTACTCTCTTCTCGTTCATCGCCGGCAGTGAAACAAGTGCCTTAGGATTACAAATATATAACCTATTTACATGTATCGTTACGAACCTTTGTTGCTTTGCTAACTTCTGAAATGATTTAAATTGGTATTGATATATTACAACGTATATGACTAATTTAAAATAATATTCATTACAGACTTAATTATATTATACACTTATCAATATAGTTTACGCAACATGCATCATTTACGCAAACTGCAAGTTTTATCAATTTATATTTTATATTATCCTTATGGCTTGTATGACTTAATTTATAAGTTTCTATTAATAAATGAAAATGGTTAATATTAACAAAATAATATAGGTAGATTAGTATTTAATATATAAAACATCGGTCAAAAGTCGAAAAAAATCATGTTGCTTAGACTCTTCTTATGAGTATATTTATAAGTCTGCTACGACTTCAACAGGTACATAACTTCCTTGCAAAAGTTTTCTATAACGATTAAAGTGCGATTAATAACGGCAAGTTTGTTTTGCGTTTTCCAGTAATCCTTCAAAAATTATTTCAGGAAATGTCAGCGTTATTTGGAAGGTCCAGACAAGGAGAAGTGCAATGACTTATGCCTTGGATGCCGTAATATAAATCCTGACTCGTGCTCAAATTGCCGATACAAAACTTATAAGGGCAATTGTGTTAGAAAATGTCCTGCCGACACGTAAGTGTTTGTTTGTTTATACTTTATCATTCTCACTAATATTGACGTCATTAATTGAAGACCAAAATATCTGAAAAATCTTTTGTTCAGTAAGGAATTGTAGATTTTTAAACGTTAAACGTATATAATCATGACAGGCTGCATGTGGGGGGTCCGGGTTACCTAAAAAAAAGAAAAAAGTGTTTTGTTCATATCACTCAAATGCCATTTGTCATTCAATGAACAGAGACAAAATATGAACTAATTCAAGGTTATTTATTCTTCTTTTATTAATAAGGGGAATGATGTTTAATAATTGCTACATTAATTTGCAACTCCTTGTAGGTATTGTACTACTCGTACCGTATAATAGTGGCGTAATTGGTGGTTTAATTATCAAAACCTCATGTGCATATTTAGCCTATGCTGTGTTTAGAACGTGAGTATGAATTCCAAATGTGTACAAATTGCAGAAAGGGGAAATCGCTGTAACACCATTAATGTCTAGATCATTATCATACGAATTCGCAATGAAGTGCCATAGGCGGTACAATATTTGGTACCTAAATGTAAGGTCTATTGCAGAATTTGCTGGCAGTCATCGATGTTGCAATTTTGTTATATGAAACAACTACTTTTAATATATTGTTTTAAACTTTCATGGTCACTTACATAATAGCTATTAACGGGATTGTTACCATGTACCTTGTTTTTTATGAGTCTAAATATCGGTGACTCATAAAAAACAAGGTACATAAAACTACTTTTAAGTTATCGCACATTATATAGTAAGTATATAAAAAACAAGCACTTCTTATTTAACTGCAAAACCCTTTAATAACTACGAAAAATTAAAAAGGAAGACAGAAAAAAAATATTGGAAAAAAAGTTCAGAAAGTTATTGCATCCAGCGAATATTCCACTGAACTATCCGCGGACTTCAATGAACTACTTTTTTGAAGTATAGTTTTTTAACATTAGTTTTTCATATTAAAGTTTGATCACGTTCGCCCGTTTTTGATCGAAAAGATTTTATTTTATGTAAAATTGCTGGTAAGCAAGCCAGTGGGCCGCCTGATGGTAAGTGGATCTTGATGCAACGGATGGTTACCGTCAGATGCTTGTGATACCTGATATCACTTTCGGCAAGAAGGAACAAAGAAAAAAGAAACTATCCTTGTCTTGTTCTGTAACAGGTAACTTATTGAGACGCGGGGGTTCCATTTCGAGTTAAATGCTGCTGTGCTAGCTCGCGATGTCTCTAACCTTGATTGAACGAGAAATGACAATCTATATTATATAAAACAAGTTTCAACGTAATAGATGCACTGATTTATTTATTTATGACGTTGCTTCGTCTTTATTCGTCGACTTTCAGGCTGCGTCGCCAAAATTAATCTTACTTAATTCTGACGACGCAGCTTGAAAATTATACGAGAAGTCATAAATAAATAAACCAGTGCAGCTATACCGTTGAATTTTGTTTTATTTAATAAGTGGTGTGCATGAAAACCTAAGAAACAAATATAATCTTTATTATATTTGTTTTCTCCCAGGAGCGGGTGTGAAATCCTCATAGATGCCGTACAGCCGGCTACAGGGCTATGTCAGACTCTTACTGACTAAATCACATCTCCTAGGGGACGCCTATGGCCTTAAGGGCCTTACAGGCTACATCCAATGAGATAATCCCCTGAGAAGGGGATGACGCAGCGCTACCTTAGTTAAAACTACTGCATAGTGCGCTAGAGGAGATGTACTCTGATGTGCACCCGTATTGGATTGAGCGACTGAAGGCCTTTCAGGATCGGGCAGAAATCTTTATTCGGATTTAATTTATTTTAGAGTTTTATTAGCCCACAGTCAGAGACGTCAATTAACATATTTGTTTCTTAGGTTTTCACGCACATCACATCAATCATCGTCAATTAACATCTTAGTAATTGATACATCATTTTATCATATAAACTAGCAACCTGTAAACATCAGGTTGTTGGCAAGCCAATTCTCGTTTTCTTTACAGTGATGTCGATTCTGGCGTGATTCTTTAAACTTAAAACTAAATTTAACATCAGTCTCTCCTTTTCATTCTGTAAAGAGAATGACAAGGATACATTGTTGTCAAATTTAAGTTTAGACTTAGAGAATCGTGCCAGAATCGACACCAGTATCAAGTTAAAATAATACTATTTTTATAAACTTACAAGTAATATTAAACTACTGTAAACATATGTCTAAGCTATTTTAAAGTGACTATCTGTTACAAATACATAATTTACGCATTAATCAAAAGAGTTTTATTAGGCCTCCAATTTGAAAAAAGAAATTTTGACTTAAATATTTAGTTGCAAAAAAAACAAGCGGTTCACTGTGAAGATTAACATTTGTAATTTGCAAAAGCAATAGAATAAGTTAATATACGTTACGTTGACAACCATTCAATATATTCACATGTCAGGTGGCTGATGGTAACACAATTAATAATACTGAAAGTTACTTAATTACCGACATTAACTAATAACAATATAATAATGAGGAAAACTGTACATGGTTCGTTGAACTCAGTAATTAACAGAATATCTTATCAACCATAAAATATTAATTTCCGTTTGTAAAGGTGGAAGAAACAATAACAGAGTATTCTTATCTATCTAACAATTCTGCCGTCCTAGTGAAGAATACAATATAGTAAGAGCTCCGACATGTTTTTTTTTTGAAAAAAGTGTTTAAAGTTTTATCTTTAAACATGAAAAAGTTAAAACTTCAATTGCCATTTTCTCCAAATCATGTCGGAGATCTTATTTAAATTATATCTTCTTTAAATTAAGTCTAAGGCCCGTATTATAGAAAGATTCTCAGTGATTGATCTAGTCTTGAGCATAGTTAGAAAGGGATGTCGCTATATAAAGCACATAGCGACATCCCTTTCTAACTGTAATCAAGAAAAGATCAACACTTAGTTGTCATTCTGTAATACAGGCCTAAGTGTGTAATGAGTTACGCTTTAACGCCTAAACTGCTGAACGGAAATTCAAATTCGGCGTACAGATTGATGTAACTGTGAAAAAGGACAAAGGTTTTGTTATAAAAATAAAACCCGAGCCTCCTTATTAATAAACAAAGACTAAGCTTGGATTAGTTACTCTATGTTTTGTCACTGTTCATTGAATGACAAATGGCACTTGAGTGATATGAACAAAACATGGCGAAACTAGTCTAAGCTTATTCTTTGTTTATTTATAAGGGGGTAAGGGGTGAAGTTTGTATGAGATAGAATCTAGTTATAGGTAGTTATATAACTAGCTGCGCCCCGCGGTGTTACCCGCGGTTTATTAGGGATATTTTCCCGCAGTAAAACGTAGCCTATGTGTTCATCCAGGGTGTCAGCCATACCAAATTTTATTAAAATCGCTCCAGCCGTTTAGACGTGAAGAAGTAACAAACATACACACTCACAAACTTTCGCCTTTATAATATTAGTGTGACTAGATGTGTCATAATATTTACAAAACATAATAAAGAAAATATTTAATTAACTCTATCATTTGTTTACAATATTATGATATCATTATTGGAATAGTTGTTTATATTCTCTCCGTATTCGACGTAAAGATTTTTTATTTTTTTTATGCGAGGCGTAAATATTACCCTACCCCACCTGATGTTAAGTGTAGGTAGAGTCCAGTCGCGAAGATAAGTAGATGATATGGCAGAGTCGCGAAGATAAGTGTGCCGCTTCAACCACCCTCACCTTGTCGGCCTGAACCCAATTCCCCTACCCCGTGGAGCCCTGGAACTCTACTCACCAGCAGAAACAGAACACTACGAAAAGATTATAAAAAAAAAACATATTTTCTGTAAGGTGGAGGTTATTGCTTCCCCAGACGGGCGCTCTAATTCGAGTGGAAATATCCGCTGTGCCCTAGGTCTCGTATAAAAATAATATACCTATATCATGGATATTCTAATTGTTTTTTCTTTCTAAACAGATTGGAGCTTCAGGATGTTGGTTATTGCATCACGAAGGCTGAATGCCATTACTTGGCCGGTTGGAAATTTAAAAATTTTTGTGTCTTTAATTGTTCAACTGGTTATGAACAGCAAATTACGTCTACAGGATACAGCTGTGTGCCCTGCAATAGATGTGAAGAGGTGCGTTTTGAGATTAAGTATAGATAGTGAAGTCAAAGTAGACATTTCTATTGGCATCTCTGTCTAAAGGCCAGTTTACAATGTCTTAGTGTTTAGTAGGGTAGAGCAGTCAAGTGCTTTAGTAGATTTTGTGACATTGCTGTGGATGTTTACATTTGTTCCAGTAGAGTGCCATTTTGTTTCCAGGATGGAGGAGCAATGTCGTGCAATACGCGTTTTTTTGTGCAATATATATACTGGGTATTGTAATTGAACAACTATATAGATGTAGAAATTTTATATGAAATAAATAAAACAAAAGGCATATCGGTATCAAAACCTGTGTTCATTGACTCTTTACTTTGATTGTATGTGCTATGTCTGGCCTTTTTATTTTTATATACATTATTATTTTTGACATTCCACAAATATTCGTAGCTTACATATTTCTTTACAACCCCCAGAGTATGGCGTATCTTTTGACCATTCCGCCATAGCTAATTTATGCACGTGTCCACCTGCACTAATGCACTTTTCTAATTTGCTGCCTAAATTATCCGTTTACACACGCTAGGATAGTATAGCGCAGGCGGATGAGCGGCTACTGAAAGCAAAATAGAAACCGATCCTATTTTGATTGTAGTTGAAAGGTCAGTGGAATCGTTTTAAAGCGAGTCACTAGAAGCTATGGTTTTAACGTTTCTACAAAACGAATCTCTTAATGCACACTAAGATAATGTAAACCAGCCATAAGATGTAGTGAACGTGAACTGTTTGGACTTGTAGAGCCTATACTGTAATATACTTACTTACTACTTAAAATACAAGTAACAAATAAATACTTAGAAAAAATATAGATTGGTACATATAAAACAGAAAAATGTATACATATACGATTTCAATTTCAGACTTGTGAAAATGTAACAATACACGCTTTAGGCCATTTACAAGATGCAAGCAGATGTGTGAAAATTAATGGATCACTTATTATCAGTATTCGTTCCCTCCCAGAGACGATGACCGAACTCCGAACATATTTAAAACAAGTAGAAGAAGTCACCGACTACGTTGTAGTTTACGGAATGCCTACAGTTACATCTTTGGATTTTTTATCTTCATTACGTAAGATATCAGGTCGAGTATTAAGAAACGGTACCTACAGTCTTTTAGTGTATGATATGATAAGTCTCCAGAGCCTATTCACGGAAAATGTTACAAAGAATTTGAAGATTGGAAGAGGAACAATGTTGTTTAACAACAACCCGATGTTGTGTATGAGCGAGCTTGAGAAAATAGTACCAATGTTTCCCATACCTCCGGTATCGACAGATGTCCCTCAAGGTGCAAACGGATACAGCGGCGGCTGCACTACAGCGTCAGTTAGCTTAAACGTAAATGTCCTTAATGAGACTTCAGTTGCAGTACATTTTACGCACATAGAAGACCCTTATTCACATTATTCTATTCTGTACATACGGTTTCCTCAGGGATCTCGTAAAATTTTTGTACCAGAAACATGTAGTGACACTGATTGGTATGCTTATAATATTCCAACAGAAATCCACAACAATAGCATCGTACAGCTGAATGATTTACAACCAGCTTCATCTTATGCGCTTTGTATAGAGAAGTATGACCCAGTTAAAAAGATTCTGGCCCGCAGCGACATAGTCAACTTTTCTACTCCCGTGGGTAAACCTGAACCACCATTTATTTTAGAATTAGTCGCTTCATCATCTGAAGTAGTAGTCTTACGATGGGTCGATCATAAAATTTATAGACCCCACATAAAACGATATGAACTAGATGTAGTTTTAGTTGATATTTACCCAGAAGATGTTGCAGCAAGAGACCATTGTAAAGACGTGGAACGTTATGAGGAGATAGATATTTTTCGACACGCTGTTGTAATGAGACCTCCTGCTGAATATGATAGATGTGTGTGCTGCGAGTCTATGTGTGGGATACTTTCATCAGTCACTGAAGGAGCTATGGTCGAAGAATATTTTGATGTATGTAGCAGTATTGAATATAATTGCAATAATGTTGAAGCCCCTCCTCCAGCAAACTCTTCGTATGGAAAATTTTTAAGATCTTTGTCATTGAATATAAAAGGACCAAGGAATGATTTTCAGGTCGGAGGATTGGCCCCGTTTCGAGACTATCGCTTTAGGTTACGCGCCTGTAGTGACCAATGCAGTAGGTCGGCACGTGGAGTAGTTCGAACATTGCGTGCCGATTATGCCGACATGCCAAAAATAATTTACGCAAGCGCCAATGAAAATGGTTTCATAGCTGTGAAATGGGAGCCACCTGAAGTGACCAATGGTCCGGTATTATCTTACTCGGTACAAGTATTACCGTCTCTGAAATTAGATGATATATCACGTTTGATACCACAGGTTTGGTGTCAGTCAGCTGAGAAAACATTTATGATCGTAAAGTCAGTGAAAGCCAAAACATATTTAGTTAGTGTTTGTTCAAAAACTCTTGCATCTAGAAACGTTTGCAGTGCAAATATCAAAGTGGTGATTAGTAGTAATGTCAGTTGGTGGGCTGGGATTGTGTTTGCTATAGTTTTATTCACCACAACTACAATAGCGACTCTTTTCATTAAGAAACGAAGGGACTACAGTTATGAGTTACCTCTTTTATCGAATATTATGGCGACAGATGAAAGTGAGCCACCTAGCACAAACAAGTCCGATTTTGTAGAATTGTATTCCATACCACTTCGTGATACTGAATTGAAATAGTTCATTTGTATTATTTAAAATAAACGTCTTAAATTTCATTTATTTTGTTTGCTTGGTCAAATATATATGTACCTATAGTTTGCAGTAATAATACTGTTTTGTATTCCAACGAAACAGTTATTATGTGTGTGGAAAACAAAGCAATCATTATAGCATAGGGAGAAACTGCACAATGTCATGTATGTTTATGTAAGGTAAGAAATCTATAATAATATTAAAACGTATATTGTTCTATGATATAAACTTCCATGGTCACTAACACTATGAATAAAAATGACGAATTTACACAATTCAACAAAAAACTTTATTTTGAGTCTGTTATTTAATGACTATTAATCCTGTATTGAATATGTAATATAATTGCTATTAATGAAAATATGGGCGCCACATGAGGTTAAACTAAAGAACACGTAATATGTACATTGGATTTTGAATTCAATGAAAACGTGCCACAACCGTTCATAACGATAGTCTAATTAGTGCTGAGAAATCGCTCATATGGGCGAAAAATTTTAAATGAAATGAAATGAAAAACCTTTATTGGCCATCTTGTATATAAGAAACAGAAAAAAAATATAAAAAAGAAACTTAACCTAAGAACAAAAATTAACCACTAGATTTAAGACGGCCAATCAGGACCCTGCCTCAGCTTATGCTGATACATTGAGAAAATATTCTCTCACTGTATCAGAGCTGGTATTCTGGCAGGGCCTGAAAATTTCGAATTTTCATAAAATAAAAATATGCTATTTATATTTTTTATTGAATAATAATGAATAAATGAGCAACACGTGTTTGTAAGTAAATATTTTATGAAAACCTGCCATTTTTATAGGTCGAGTCGTTTCCAAAAAAATCGAATCATGAAATATTTTTTATACTCATAATCATAAAAGTATTACTATGTATACTAATAACCATTTATTGTTCATTTATTCATTATTATTCAATAAAAGTCATGAATAGTAGATTTTTTCGAAAATTCGTCTCATTATTTTTTTAGGCGTAATGGGGTTTCGTGCCCCTTTGAACTTTTTGGACTATCGTTCTGAACGTTTCCGACACGTTTTCACTGGATTCAAAATCCAACTTATTTTGTGCGTGCGAGTGTCCGAAAAATAATATAATATTAAGTACCTGTAATATATTTTTATTCGTTATGGACCTTATCATATTGCTTATTTTATTAATTAGCGGAATGAAAGCAGTTCTTTTCGTGCGTGTGTAACTACTTTTAGCCCCTTAAAGGCGGATTTACACTTCGGTAAGTACAGTAGACGGTCACATTAGCCGCAGAACTGACGGCTGTTGGGGCCGTAAAGTTCTTGAGTGGAGACCGCGACTCGGTAAACGTAGTGTAGGACGCTCTGAGACAAGATGGGATGATGACATTCGTAGGCTGGCTGGAGTGAGCTTTATTAGAGTAGCAGAAAATCGGCAGCAGTGAAGTGCATTAGGGGAGACTTATGTCCAGCAGTGGACGAGCATGGGTTGATGATGATGATGAAGTACAGTAGCGAGTAAACATACGGTCTTGGCGAGTTGAGTTCTTATCATCGTTCGGGCAGGGATTTGGCAGTTAAGGGCTAGCGCGCACGGGACTTTTGTCGCCGTGACTTTAAAGTTTTTGTCATTGCCACATCACGTTTCCAAAGTGGAGTGCGCGCACGAAGAGTGACTGTGACAAAACTTTATTTAAATCGAAGAGTCATTTACCGTTATGGATTTCGAAGAGACAGTCGTTGCCTGTGAACTCACCAGACTCGGAAGAAAAAAAGGCGTAAAAATTACTGCTGGTACTTTTTCTTGTGGCGACAAGTTATACCAAACATTGCTTAATATTATTCTACTAATCTACTCCTACAATTTAATTTCAAAATTAATATCAGAATACTCTTTCAATTGTTATATAGAGTGCTGGTCTCTTTTCGACCTCTTCTATACTTATGTCGTTATCAATAGCGTCTTCTCGGATTTTAACGGATGGCGCCATTTTGCGTGCATGAAATTCAAGAATCGAAATGTAAATGCGAACAAACGGAGCTGTGAGTGACAATTTAGTCGCTCGTGCGCCCGCTGCTATGAAAATCTAACAGCGCGGTGACAGTTTCGCCACGGGCTTGTTCGCCAGTCGGCGAACATAAATGTCACGCAGTTATCCCGTCGCAACATGCGCGCATCTCCATACATATCCACGGACTTGATAAGAGTGACGAAACAGTCACGATGACAAAAGTAACCCGTGCGCGCTATCTCTAAGTGCATACTGTTTAACTGTCTGATTTCAAAACTCGCTACTCTACTTACTTAATGTAAATTCGGTTTTAATGGCTCAGTTGAGTATAAAATTTGGTTTAATGAAACAATTTATTAAGGCTCTGTGTCAAATTTCTGAAGACATTTTCCCCTAAAGGAGAGATCCTCGTTTTACAACAAGGAGCTTGGTTTTTCGTTTTAATCGTAAAATAACGAACACCATACTACATTACATTAAAACCCATTAAAATATGAAGTAAAAAGCGAATTCTAGAATTATTTTAATCATTAAAAATTATTTTTAAACAAATAAAATGTATTAAGGTCACCCTGGGTACCTATTGTAGCTACTAAAAAATTATGTCAAACTTGTGACTTGAATATTTTTTACACTATGTATACAATTTTGCAAATACAATTAATTCTTCATATTACACATTAATTAATGATAACGTAGACGATTTCGGTTGATAGAAACTAAATTAATTAATTTTAAGTTAAAGATATTATATTTGAATCCGTCAATAGTCTCATTTGCCCCGATCCGGGGTAGATGTAGCTAACCATCCGTATGTCTTTGTTGTTGTCTCTATAGTTCTCAAACTCACAGTAAAGGTCAGACCCTATTTAATGTTACTATTTTTTTCCTTCAATGCTCTGTATTAGAGTTCGATATGCTTTAAATATACTTAAAGTATCGTCAGGGGGATATGTATCTTTTATTTTTCTTTTTTAAAGATAGGTCCAACAAATTACTCCATCCCACCTGATGTTAAGTGAAGGTGAAGTCCAGACGCGAAGATAGCTGATACAGCAGTTCTACCTGCCAAACCAGCCATCCTCACCCTGCCGGCCTCCATGTTGCTTCTTCACGCCTCGCCACGCCAAAGAAATGAGTCACCAAATTTCTTAGTACGAATTGTATCCACAGTTAGACGGTGACAACGTTTTTTCCATTTACATTAGTGCTGAGACATGTGGTTCGATAAATTTGGATAACCGTATAATACAGTAAACTGATATTATCAAGCACTAACACAATAGAATCAATTAGTGTCATATAAAATGTTAATAATTTAATAAAATCATAGGAGCTAAAATTAGCCCACTCACAATTTTAAAAGGGGCAAACGTAGCAGTCTCAAAAAACTTGACTTTACTGAAGTGTAGGATAAAACAAATTAATGAAAAATGAATAACCGTTAATCATTTCATGACATATTGTAACGTTCCAATATTGCGCAAAATAATATAATAATAACCCTGACTCCTTGAGCTGACTCCAATCTTAAGTTTATGCTGATGATCCTGTTTTCTGTACGTCGTCAACAAGTTAAGTGTTCTGAAGGTTGTAATTGCATCAAATTAAATGCAGCTCTTCTTTTATGACTCGCGTTTTGTATCAGGTTTCAGATGTCAAACCTTTGGCAGTTGTTCCACCGCCGCTCAAGAAACTTACAATAGCATTGCATTCCGGGTAAAAAAGGACATGCATACATTAATATTTAATCGTTGACTGTTCACACTGCTGACGAGAACTCGCTCCACTAGTTTGTTGCCAAGCGACAAGAACTATCGAAGTTAATTCTCGCTCAGCGATATTCGCTTGGCCGTCAAAATGCGTGGGCGTGCATTTTTTGCAGGACTGTCACCACGAGTGAGCGGCGCAAGTAATCGCCCATTTTAATTGCACATACGCTTAAGGCTAGCAGTAAATGAAAAAGAAAATCAGCAGGAAATTAGTGTGTAGTTATCAAACTCGTTTCTAGTTTCTAGCTCCACTCGCTTCTCATTCGTCGTCGGCGGTGGGACAAGTGCCTTAAAATTTATTTACATTATTGTAGTTTTGACGTGACAACGTCTTAAATTAGGTTGCGGCTGGGAGTCACTTATGAAAAAGTGTAACGCTCGGTAACGTTACGATGAGTCTCTCGTGTTAAGTTTAAGTTTACATGTACAATGTTTTAGTAAACAAAATATATTTCTATAGTTAAAATTTGTGCAATTCTTATTTTCATTCAATTCCTTGTTCCTATTGTGCAATTTAATTATATTCATATCAATAAATATTCTACCGAGAAAAAGACGTTGTCACGTAAAATCTTCGCCCGTAAAACCGACTTTACAGGCAACCATTTTTTGACGTGACAACGTCTTAAATTAGGTTGCGGCTGGGAGTCACTTATGAAAAAGTGTAACGCTCGGTAACGTTACGATGAGTCTCTCGTGTTAAGTTTAAGTTTACATGTACAATGTTTTAGTAAACAAAATATATTTCTATAGTTAAAATTTGTGCAATTCTTATTTTCATTCAATTCCTTGTTCCTATTGTGCAATTTAATTATATTCATATCAATAAATATTCTACCGAGAAAAAGACGTTGTCACGTAAAATCTTCGCCCGTAAAACCGACTTTACAGGCAACCATTTTTTATATTATTTATTATTTTCCAATTTCTCGTTAACTTCACAATAAAGGTATCAAAATGGCACATTATGTTAACTGGGAAAATTCCGAGACTCTTTCCTGTATTTTCAAAGTCGAATAGCAAAAGAAAAAAAAGGATATTTCCCTATTTATTTCAATTCCGCTTACTTTCAAATCCAATTTGCTTATAGTTTCGCCTCCTCAGCACAGTTTAACGGGATTGATATTACTTTGTACGAAATCCAGTTTAGGGAAGTTGGTTCGGTCCAGACAAGATTTTCCATTCAATGTCCCAAACAGCAACGTTGCAACAAAATCGTGTATTGCAGGAATAGTACCT